ATTGCTTCTTCCAAATAATAATCAAGATCAAACTTTCCTACTAAAGCAGTATTTCAAGTCTTAAAATCAAGATAATCCTGCATCATGTAAAATATTAATAAAGTACCAATTAAAATGGCATTAGGAGTCTCAAATTTAATTCAAATCCACCTAAAAAAGAAAAATTACAGTAAAGAAGACATAAATTAAATTTAATTATCATAGAACATCAAGCTTACACGAAAAACATCTATGAAAAGTTCTTCACGCCTTGCACCAAGGGTAGATGGATTTGGTATTGACATTGATGCTTTAGAACTTGACTCATATTCAATGCCATGATATGAGGATGATGAACCAAAATCTTTATATTGACTATAAACAAAATATAACTTACTCTTGATAGTTTCAATCTTTGCATGACAAGTTATAGGGTCAAGTAACGAATAACAGTACTTTATCAATTCAAGCTTCAATCGCAGATCAAGAATAGTCCCAAGTACAAAGATCACACTATAATCATCCTAATATTTGTCAAACTTTTCTTTCATCCTACAAGCCGTATCTTGAATCACAAGATCAACATTCATCACATGTTCTTTTAGCAACATCTCAATTTTTGACATTTTCATGAAATAAATGTTTGAAGTCGAGTAAGATGACCCATTCATCAAGTTTGTAATCACTTCAAATGGCTCCAAGAAAGTGCAAATTTCCTCTGCTCTCTTCCACTCTTCATCTGATGGGCAACACTTGTAATTACTATCATTTAAAGCCAATCTAGCAAAAGCATGGCAATATCTAATCCCACTTTCCAGCATTGCATATGTAGAATTCCATTCAGTAGACACATCCAATTGCAAATCTATTGAGGTATCAATGCCCCTAACTTGCTCAACACATTGCCTAAAATTAATCATCCTCACCTCTGATGCTTTCACATATTTAATGCTCTCCTCAATCTTATGTAAAGCAACGCTTATTACTTTCAAGCCCTCCTGAACCATAAAATTCATTATACCAGCACAACATCTTTCATGAAAGAAGTCCCCATTGCATATCAAGCTATTTTGTGAACTCAACCTCTCTTTCAATACATCTTGCATATTGTCATTCATTGAAGCATTGTCCAAAGTAATAGAAAATAATTTCCTATCAATCCCCCAATCCATCAAGCATTCATGCACATTTTCAGCCAATTGAAACTCCAAGTCCGAAGGCACCAGGGACTCTTTGACATGATTTGTCTCAAATTTTCTTTTTGACTAAGATAAAATTCTCAAACATCTAATATAGCAGTGCTTCGACTAATGTGCTTAATATCAGTATTCAAATACTCTAGTAAAGCCCTATACCCTTCGTACTCAACAAAGGAATGAGGAAGATCATGCTCAATGATACCCATAGTAATGCATTGTCAAATATGGCTATAATTGATTTGTCTACCCTTGGGATTTTTTGTAGGGCCCAACATCATGCCACCGATATTGTGATATTTTGGGAGCACTACAAATTTAGTGATATGACCCAAGAGATCGGAAGAACCATATTGTTTACTCACAATTTTGAGGAGGAAAAATTGTTTATTCACAATTCACTTCAACAAGAAGGATGAAGGGATTGTTTATTCACAATTTGTCTGCAATCATCCGCATTACCAACATCCACATGAGCATTAATTGTGCGAGGAAGATGTATTTTACACTGCAAGTGGGAGGAAAGCAATATACCATCACCGCAAGTTTATAAACTAAATAGCATAACTTATGCAGAAACTCACCTATAATTAATATATAATTGTATACACAACAAGAGCATAATTCAGAACTTTCAAACGCACAACAACTGTATATCCCTCTATAATGTACTATGGTTATTTCAGAAGAAACAAACGAATATAAGCATTTCAACGTTTTAGATTAAACCAATACGTGGGCGGCATAAAGAATCGAGGCTCTAAAACTAGGTAACTAACATTCCAATATTCTTGAAAATACAAGACAAATACCATTACAAGTTTGAGATTATTAATTTATTATTATGCTGAAATGAAATGAATCATCATTACCGAACAAGATCACCAGTGTCCGAAAAGACAACATTTAATGAGTCAGCGTTCAACAACATGGAAGATAAAGAATTTGAGGTAAAAACAAAGCCATAAATTCAAAGCAGAAGCAGTGTTACAGCAGTGCGAAGCCGAGGGAAATTGCCGAACGTGCTGTAATGCCGCTGCTCTAGAGACACAGAGCAATTGCCGACGACTGCCGACAGTAGGGAGGGGAAAAACTGAGAGTGATGAGCGATGACCGATAGAGATAGTGATGATGAATGGCCTGCTTGGGGCTAGCCAGGGCTTGGGCGTCGCAAAGTGTTTTTTTTTTTTTTTTTTTTAAGTTCAGATGTAAATAAATAAAATGCAGCTAGATTTTGAGGAAAGTGAATTTGGCGGGAGAGGATGGCGGGTTATTTTAGGGAGAATTGCTGTGAATTTTGGCACAGACAAAAATGAATCTAACCGTAATCAAATAACTTGCGAATTGAAACCCGTTTAACTCATATTATTTATAAAATATATATAAAATTAAAAAATAAAAAATGGAGAGAACTTCGGCAATGCAACTTTACAATACAAGTAGATTTGAAATGTCATGATAGAATTTATCCATCTTGTATGTTTATGATATGAATTTTTTTAATTGTACAAATATCACATTAAAACTTATTATTTAAGATTGATTTAAAAAATAACAAAAAAGTGGGTTGGTAAGTTGGTAGATTGACCTATTTAATCCACCAACCCACAAGGATTGTGTAAGCTAAAATTTATTTAATTTATATGAAAATGAATTGAACCCAACTCTAATTATATGATCTAGATTGACTTGATTGGATCACTCAATATCTTCAATCTATTTGCTTCAATTAGAGGGCATAATGTGGTTTAGATTACTTTAAATTAAGTCAAGTAAAACCTAAAAAGATGGCAAAGCTCTCTCACCAAGTATTAAACCAATTCTTTTTTTCTATTTCCATGATGCATTTCAACTTTTCTTTTTTAGGAATTAATTAATGCTTCAGTTTTTACGGATTGCATTCTTATAATTCATTTTCACACAATACTTGCATTAAAAAGGTAAATATACAAGGTAGAGTTGAGAATTCAAGGCTAATCTCCAATTTTACCATTTCTCATAATTAATAATCATAATAAAATATTGTATAGGAATTCAAACAATAATAAACCCTAATATATACTCCCCTGGTCCCATTTTTAAAACATTTTTTAAGTAATTTGATATTTAAAAATGTAAGACATTTTAAAAATAAAGTTTATTAATAATAATTATTTCAATATTACTCTTTATTATTTACTCTTTAAATAAATTTCTTTTCCTGTCTCACTCTCTATTTAATGGAGGGTATTTTTTGGATGTTTATAGAAAAGTCAAGAATATGCACTATGTAATTTTGTCAAAAAAAAAAAACACCCTATAAGATAGGAGAAAAGGAGTATAATACTAGTAATTTAATGCTTCGTATTTTTCTCAACCTATTATCTATCCAATATGTGGGAAAAAATATAGTGTAATGTGTATAAAAAAAAAGAAAAATATTAATTAACATGTATCCCCTCTAACCAATTAAAGTTAAGTTTGGTTGAATATGATTAGCACAAGCTTAAATAAAGAGCTCATTCCATAAGATTAGTTTACTAGGAGTGCCCCACAAACCTATAATTTTGATAGCTCCTAATCCATGACACTTCACTTGGCTGTAACTAATCAGAACTCTTTGTGGGCAACTTTTTCCAAGACTACAATCTCAAAGGGAGTAGTACCACCATCCAACGGACTAGCCTATCAAATGAGAGCTTTCCTTCAACTTATAAATTCCACACTATTTGTGAACTCTCAAATGTGAGACTCATGACAATGTCACCTTGTTAAAGATGATGTCTACGGTGACTCTACTCTATGGCACTTCACTCACCCTTTTGCTAGTCAAAACTCTTTGTAATAACCCATTTTTGTGACATCGATGTCTCAATAAAAGTACCAATATGAAAAGCACAAATCTAAAAAGAAAGCCTATCCCAAAAGATTAGCTTAGTAAAATATCTCCCAAACCTATAATTTTAATGGCTCTCGCTCTATGGCACTTCACTCGATTGCGACTGATTAGAATGGAACCTAAAGGAGAATGGAACCACCAAACCCTTTTTGTGACTATGGAAGGCCTTTTCCAAGACCATAAATCTAAAGGAAAATGGAACCACTACCCAACAAACTTGCTTATTGGATGAAAAAGCCCATTGAACTTATGAACCTTATATTACTTATGAGACTCCCCGATATGGGACTCATGATACTAATCTTTCATAATGTGATAAATTAAAGTTTGAATTCTCATTAAAAAAGTGCCCACATCTAATACTTGATCATGCCTCAAATAAAATTGTCTCCAATAAAAAAATTTAATACTTAGCCATACTTCAAAATATATACTCTTTCAAGTCCTTATTATAAGTCATTTATAAACTATATTTAGGAGCACAAAATTCTTTAGAAAGTGACTTGTGTGTTGGGGGAAGGGGGGTTTAATTGAGTGAATATTTTAGTCTTGAAAAATAATTTCTCCTTTGATTCTGCTTAATAAGGAAACTCCTTTTCTTGTGTTCTTTATGCAGCATAAATAAATGAACTATCATTAACTATTAATTTATATATATAAATCAAACTCAAAGAAGGAAAAAAGCCATCTTTCACACCCGAACCAATTACGCTTATAATTGCATTACTATCACAATGATGTGCAATGTGGTACATGCCATCAAACAAATGGGATAACTTCAATAAAATGACCCAATAAGGTTATAATGATATAAAAACAATATGTAGACATGTCTTTTTTTTTTTGTAACAGAAAAAATGCCTCATTTTGAGACAAGTTTGACCTCCTAATTAATTTGGATGATTTATTCATTCATCAAAAAATTAAAAAAAAATTCTGAACAGATCTAAACTATCCAAATTAATAAAAGATCAGATTTACTCAAAATGAAGATCATTTTACCACCAAGACAAGGCAGGATCATTCCCAATCAATATACATGGTACAAAGAAGCCAATGAAATGGATTGGAGCCATGCTTACAGCATCCTCTTGCAAGTGTAATCAAATATAACCTGAAACAGACTCCTGGGTGATGGCTCCTCTTTCACCTTTAAGAGGTGAGCAACTCTTGAGAAACCATCATCATGGTATCTAGACAATGCATTTTCTTTCTCATCAGATTTACCATCATAGTGCATTTGCTTTGTTCTTGACAATGCCCATTGCATTGCCCATATGGCTAAAGGGCGCATGTAACACAGAGATCTGTACTCATCTTTAGTGGTCCAGGCTTCAGGAGTTTGAAAAGAATATCTACAATTGATCAAACAGAAGGACTTCAATCAGATATTGGGTTTTTTTTTTTTGGGGGGGGGGATGAAACAGAACAAATCATAATAATTAAGTGTAAATGACAGTTGAATTCCATGTAGTTTGACCCGAAATCAGCCTTTTCTCAGTAGTTTTAAGTGTGCCATTCAATGGCTCTATGTTTTACCATTTCATTGCAAACTAAACCCCAAGTGACAAGTTTGACAAGAATAGCTATAACTGATCAAAAAGATAGAACTGAAGGACCTCAACGAGATATTGGAAAAAAAAAAAAAAAGGCTTACGAAATGGAACCTATGTTCGTAGTAATAAGGATAAATGACAGTTGAATACCCAATAATTTGACCAAAAATTAGCTTCTTCTCAGTAGTTTAAAGCTTGTCATTAACCACCGAGGCATATGTTTACAGCTATAATTGATCAAACAGAAGAACCTCAGGGAGATATGAAAAAATTACGTGAAACAGAACACATCTTCATAGTAATAACGGTAAATGACAGTTGATCTCATGTAGTTTGACCCGGAATTAGCTTTTTCTCGGTAGTTGAAAAGGTATCATTCAACACCTCTAGTTTGAAAAGAATAGCTATACAGAAGGACCTACATGGGATATGAAAAAATTACATGAAACAAGCATCTTCATAGCAATAAGGATAAAAACAGGTGAATCCCACGTAGTTTGACCCAGAACTAGCTTTTTCTCAGTAGTTTAAAGTGTCATTCAACACCTCTATGGTTCGTTCCATTCCCATTTAACCACCAAGTGATTTGTTTGGTTTTATTTTAAGAGAAAACAATAAGTCATTATTTGATCAATGAAGAATTTTATCGCCTAAATCATATCATACCCATAATTTTTCTTGGTCATTTAAATATACTAAATAATGATTAAGTTGACGTTTAGAAATTGAAACCATCTAATTAGCCCCGACAATAACATTTTACCACTACAAGTAGAACAGACTTGAACATTAAACTTATCTATTTCTGTTAAAATTTGGATAGAAAATTAATGTAGTAACATAACAAATCACAATGGGCTAAATTATGCACATTGAATCATAACGAGGACACTTGAATTATTGGCCAAATCACAAGAGTCAACTATAATTACACAGGAAATGAAATTCTGAAACCAAACTTAAGCACTAAAATTTAAGAAAGGACTTATTTCAGGCCCAAATATTAAGATAACAAGTCATTGAGATTGTCATATGCCCTGTTCATGCTCAGACAATTCTAACTTGTTCAGAATCCAACATTCCAACAAGTAAAGGAGAAACAGTGTCAGGGCTTCATTTTGAAGTAATAATTTGTTGAGAAGCCTACAATTATCTAGACTATAAAAGATTTGATCAATCATCATAATTGTTTGTCTTCATGATTATATCAAATTACAAAGTTTCAATCTCAAGTTTCTGCATCTCCTATGACTGACGGTGCTAGCAATTAACATTGTCAGCAAAAATAAATTCCAAGATTCTTCAAATTCAATAGTGTATGCTCTTCAAAAAAAATTTAGAGAACTTAGATTCCGTTTGGTTGCTAGAAAAGATAAGGAATGGAATGAATTGGAAAAATCAAAATAAAAGTGAACTAAATCACCCTTTCCCTTCACGGCAAGCATGATAAAAATTAGTACTATATGCGACAAATGTGGAATCATCACACTCTCCAAAACCTCATAAATCATGACTCTCAATTCATGAACTAAATTATCTTTTTCTATTATAAATATGGCTCAACCATCCCCTCCACATTTTGATAATCTTATTTGTTCCTTTATTTTTTCAATTCATTCCATTTCATACCTTTCTAGCAATCAAACAGGACCTTAGTGTTTTGGGAACATTTTATCTTTAATGATAATGTCTTTCAATAGTTAATATTGGAAAACAAGAAATGAAAATTGGGGAGGGGGGATCATATGGCTATCACCTTAAGTGGAGGGGGATTTAAGAAGTGGAGGCACATAAAAGCAAAAGCCTAAATTTGGCAACAGATGGAAGGAAAATTTGTTTGAAAAATAAAATAAATGGCAGGAAATTTCCAACTACTCAAGCAAACCAAATTTCACAACCTAGCTCAGTAGCTCAGGCACAGCCTTCAACGGAACATTATTTGTACTAATTAGTACATCATTAGATATATAGATAGTTAACAGAAAGTCTTGGTTCAAATTTACACTTCTTCACATATCAAAACAAGAAAAATGCTTTTAGGATGACAGAAAAATATGCTTACCCAAGTCCATGGTCAGACCATGCAGTTTCATATACTCCACTTGCAGTTTGAAAAGCCATATCAATCATATCTTCCTGGATCATTGCTGCAGCTACAGCGTATGTGACCCCTGACCATATTTCTCTGGATTGCATCGATGACATGTCAACTTTTCCATCAGGCAACATCCCATTTACAGCACCCCGTTTCCCATCCTTTACTTTCATAACATTATAATTATATACCATTTGAAGTGCACTTCTAGCTTTGTTTGAATCAACAATTGGTGGAAGACCACATGCTCTAGCATACCTGCAAAAAAGCAAAGAATAATCTTAAATACTGTGAAGGAATAATAACCACATACGCAACACCTGAGGATGAACCCTGGGTTCAAAAACTCAAATCACTCAAATCTTGTTATATCAGCATTGGTTAGATGCTTTCAGTTTCTTCTGCTAAATGTCCATTTTTGTATGAGACGAGGTAAAATTTAACAAGTGAATTCTCCCATGCCATCAAACCTTCACCAGAGCCAAATCCTCAATATGTCTCACAATGATCCGATTTTTTAACACCTTTTCTTTTTCATTATGTTACACAAACTTATACTTTAAACTATAAAGATACATAAACACAACAGCTTGATCACGTACTTGGATTCTAACTCAAATTAAATTGGTTGGCCAAAAAATCAAATTCAAATTGACAAGAGAAGAGTTCAAGTGGTAAAATCAACCATGGCAACAATAAAAAATAGTTTTAAAATTGCTATTGAAGCAGGCGAGGCTCATGCAAGAGGATATAGTTTCCGAAAGACAAAATACAGACCATTGTCCAGCTAATTGATCAGCTTGAATGGATGAACTCGAAGATCCTCCGCTACTGTCATAATTGAAGTAAGAGCCATTCCATAATTTTTCATATGCAACTTTAGCTTTCTGAAAATTAAACCAGAAATAATCTTCAGAACCCTTGTCACCAATTTCACGTGCCAAGGCTGATGCTGCCAATAGTGCAGCCAGCCATAGTCCACCACTATATGCACTTACACCAGACACAGACCATGTGTCATAAGTTTGATCAGGGAAGCCTTCATTCTCAATCATTCCATCACCATCCTTGTCAAATTGGTCCATATAAGCCATTGCAACATAAACAGATGGCCAAACAGCATGTGCAAACTTTTTATCACCAGTGGCAACCACATCCCTATAAATCTGGAGAACAAATTTAGGATTCAGGTCTTTCCACCTATCTGTGTTATAGATATTATAGCCATTTACTTCAAACCACGGATCATTGATTCCAATATCATGAGGAACAGCACCAAGAACCTTTTTTGGAACCCACACGCCATTTTCTAGAAGTTTCATCTTTACAGGATCATGCATCATTACTGCTGCAGCAAAGTCTCTTTGGATGCTGAGTTCAAGTTTAGGAAAGAGCATGACTAGTGCAAAAGATGAATAGAAGTGAACGTCATAGGTATTCCACATCTGATATTCAATGCCTTCGAGATAAAGGAATTGACCAACGTTTTCTTCCCCATCTTGGAGCAGCTTCACTCCTAATGCAGAATTTGATGCATGAGAAGTGTGAATTTGCTCAGCTACTGAACTAAAACTTTCAAGAATGTTAATGGCAGTATCATTTTGATTTGATATATGATTATTTTCCCCTGAATTTGATCTATTCCGGTCCAGGGAAAATTTTCTCCCTCCTAAGCTGGTCAGGCTATGCACTGGAGGTGAACCATCTGCCAAAGAAAAGAAATTATGAAGACTAGGGACAATGATAATTAAATATCTAGCGCTTGCAAGATAATAAAGGAAAAATAACTTCAGCTACTTAGGTGGCAGAATGAATGGAGCATTTCATATGGATTGCAAATACCTGTCCAAATTGTCCCCCCAGAATTTAGGTAGTACAACTCGTTAAAAAGGGTGATTGGATACCTGCAGAAAATTCTTTGAAAACTTCAGTGTTTGCCTGTAGGTGCAGATGCTGAATGATGCATGCAGGCTTACCATTCAGGAAACCTCTTGTCCTCAAGAATTGGTCTTTGCCATGCTTCTATCTGGGCCTCCCATTGGCTATGCCCTGTGGCATCAATTCAATAAAAAGGTTGAAGAAACTTAACAAGGAACTACACTTACAAATAAGGTATTTCTGAATGTTAATTGGGAAATACATCTAAATTTAACGTCAAGCAAAACTCTATTCATATTACTACATCACACTTTAAATCCATATGTATACACGTATAAACCCAGATATTAGAAAAGCAATTCAAAGTAGTTCGGCAAATAAATGTACCAAGAATGGCATCATGTGCAATATCTGCTGCAAAATCTCTATTAGTACCATAGAATTTAGTGTAACGCCTGTTAAAAAACCTCATCAGTTGTGCACAATTTTTCACATTAAAATTCTTCCTAGCAACCGTTCTATGACCAACCTGTAATAAGTCCTTCCACTAGGAAACTTCACTTCAGGGCAGTTCCATGCCAATGAAAATGTGACAGTGCGTTGTGCATCTGGTGGAATTTTTAAAGTAGCTGCAATTGCTGCTCCGATAGATGATCCTGATTCTGTAGGTACAGGTGCTTCAGGAAAACTCAGACGATCAAAGGACCCTTGCTAAAAGAATAAAAAGCACCCCAATTCAGTCATTTGGAAATATTCTGAAACAAAAATATAAATGCTTACATGCTAACTGCCCTCTCTGACACATGCACACATGACACGTAAATTCTAGAAGAAAATCATAACTATCACAGAGCCTACAGAATTTTTTGAGGGAGTCATTAGCCGTAGCTGAAAAATCAGGAGATTTCCTGTTAATAGTATGATACTTGATTCCATGTTAACAAATTCCAAAAAAGTGACAAAATAAAGTTGCTCATGGGAAAAAAAAAATTAAGAAATGAATGTAATCACCAAAAGTGATGAAAATTATTTTATCTGCAAGAAGATAGCAGGTTTAAATGACTAGTGAAATAACCAAGATTTTCCAATGGTACATTGCACAGTATGTCCTTCACCTTTTTAATTTCTTGCCACATATCGTTAGCTGAGATCCCATCATAAGCACCAGATATGACAAAAACAGGACATTCTGAGACATGAACATGTTCAGTTTCTTCTGCTGCAATTGCAAATGTGACTGGAGGCTGCCCGTTTGCAGTCCTACAATTTAGACCGTATAAATTAAATGCATGACAAATTCCAGATTTGTTTTTCTTTTCTTCCTTCACTTAAAAAAAGAGTAACAACTTAAACTTACATGTGATGAAGAAGCACCCCATGCACCCCATCATTCATCCTAGCAGAATAGAATATCTTGCATGTTAGAATAAACAATAGGTAAGCAATGAAAAAAAATAAGGAATGAAATGGAAGTATCTTCATAAAAAATAGGTAGACCTAGTGAAAATTTTCTCACATCATTTTCGTATTTGTGTGATAACCTGTAGATTCAGAAAGTCCTCCAACAGAATTCTGAATGAACACAGAAACAACAAATGATATGAAGCGTTTTCCCTTACATTCATTTTGTTCTTTAAATAACCTTATTGTTTGCACTCAGTGCCTCGGGACAAGAATAAACTATTGAAAAGTGACTGCAACTAACTGTAACAGCAGACAAAAAGCATAACTTACAGCCCATGTGAAAAGCAGGGTGACATCTGCTGATGTTTTGCCAAAATTATTCAGCTGAATTGAACAAAATCAACTGCTCATTATTAAATCTGAATGTATCATATTCCATGCAAAAGAAGATTTTAAGGAGATAATAGCTAACCGTGAAAGTAAAAACTGATACAGGATAGCTACTCTCCTTATAATTGTGAGGTATGACAGGTGAAATCTGACGACAAACTATTCTTAACAAGGGGTCTGGTTCTGCATTTGAAAGTGCGAATGATCAGTGTCAGACTCATTATTATTCATGAAAATAACGTGATAGACTTGGAAGCATACTATGTTTTCTAGCTTACCCTCATATACTGTCCAGGCCCTTGGATACAACGCATGATATGTAGAATTTTGTCCATTCAGATTCCAGTCCCACAATCCAATTCCTGAAACTGGACTTTCTCTGCTTAGGAACATAAAATTTAGTAAATTGGTCCCATTGGTTATGTCTCTCTTTAAATAAAATTCAAGGCATTCATAAAAGATCCAACTCATTAAAGTAATGTGGTTACCAAGAAATATAAATTACAAGATCAAAAGGGACATGGCAAAGGCTTACTTCAAACTATCTGGCTTTCCTGGATATAGTACACTTGAGTATTTTTCACCATTTGAACGCGAGACAAAAACCTGACATAATAATCTCAATCATGTCAAAAGATGGCATATAATTAACAGTAGGAAGTACTGGAACATGTTCATCATGAATGTCTATTTCTTATCAAATAAACTGTTGTTAACATGCTCGAACTCCACACAAGATTAATCCTGGAATCAGACTTCAACATATAAGGGGGGAAAAAAAAAGAGGGAACTGTATTTCATAAACATAACACACTTATCACAGAAATGCTGGAAATTTGTCAGGCATTCCAGATTTAGAATTCAAAATTCATAAAGATAGAGCATTTGCACAAGATGGGCTGATGAAACTTACAGAAAATTGATTAGCTAAAATTGGCTTCTCTTCACATATTCTGGGGAACAGCTGCAAACGCTGAAATTCACCCCTGTAACTCCTTCCAATGCTTCCTCCACTGCAGACCAGTTTGTCAACGATAAAAGTTGCATATAACATCAAGTAGAAAAATGATTAAATGATCATCTGGGACAGATTCAAATCAAGAAAATAATATTGATGGTTCTAATGACTAAATTAGAACCCTGAATGATTTTCATGACTTGGTTTACATCTGACTTAAAGCATGTGATTATAAGATTGGTTATGACTAAGTATGAACAAATACTTCCCCTATCAGTATTCTTTACTTAAATACAGCACACAAGCATCCCAATAGTTTACAAATTAAAAATCATTTTCTAGGAACAATAGGCATACTTCTTGTTTTAATGACACATAAAAGAATGCATAATCTAAATTCATAACCTAGAGGGCTAAAAATACCAGTGAATGCTCATATATCATAGGACTGGTTGATTAAGTAAGATCTTATGTTTATCTCTTGGCTTAAGCAACAAAACAAATTAATTATAACTCACAAAAAAGTCAAAACCTACCCAATACCACCTAATGGAACACCGTGATGAGATGTTACATGACGTTTGGCAAAAGGATCAATAAGCACTCCCTGTAAGAATGATAGAGACACAAAAGGGAAAGGGTTAAAGAAAGGTATTCAGATGGAAAGTTCACTACCAAGAATTAATGTAAGAAGGAAATTCCTTGGTAAAGGCAGATTTACTCTTCCTCTAGCAGCTTCTTCTTGAACATGGCGCCATATCCGATAACCAATAGGAAGCTGACAAATCAAATAATGATCTAATGATTTTTGTGTTTACAAATCCACAAATGTTTCTAATAATTAAAATATACTATACCTATCCGTTGACAAATTCAAGGTTAGGATTATGTTTCTATAACAATGCAGATTATATAACAAAGCAGCAAAATATTTCATGCTAATATATATCCAAAGAAATAAAGATAGAGATTTAGGATTTTTTAAGGTTTTGCCCTGAAGATGACAACCTATCTGGACACTTTGTGAGGATGCTGTAGAATAGAGAATGCCAGCATATGTTCCAGTTATTATTCCTGACAAGTTAAGCTTGCTGGCTTTTAAGTCCATGCCTAAAGTTTTCTGTTTTCTAGATGAGATGACCAAGTGGGATTCGTTCATTATACAAACAGTTACAGACTGAACTCTGACCACAAAGGCAAAAATAGACTTAAAGGGGACTTCTAAGATATTTTAAAAAAAGGAAAGGAAAGAAGAAAAAGATAAAAGGGTGATAATAACATTATCTCACTCATAAACTTACCATATGAAGTGTCTCCTTTAAAGTTAAGGTGAACTCCAGTGGAAAATTTCCTTCAGAGTTTAATTTCCGCTGCCAGGTAAGTGCTGCCGGCTTCCACGGTTCAACCTTAATTTAACATACAAAAGATGTTTAGAAAAGAATCTTTGTTAGCGCTCAAGTCATCAAACATAGGGAAAGTTGTGCAGTCTTTAGCTGAATCTTTGGAAGAACTGGCAAAAGCGATTTTTCAAATTTAACTTATCCAACAGAATCAACTAGATTATAAACATGTTAAAAATTGCCAGAATTACTAGTTTCGACTTCATACTTGGAATTGTTGACTACAAAAATAACACGTCTTCCTATTAATGCCTAATTTCAAAAGTAACAATGCTATACACTTTTTAATTATGTTAATCACCCCTCCTCGCAGGTTTATTGGCTGTAAAGTCACTTCATTAAAAAATTATTAAAAGCTTTCAGAAAGGATAATCGTCAATTTAAATGCAAAAAAGGTTTTAAAATGAAGAATTAATCTCCCACGTTTAAAAGCAATACTTGCTCATTACTCTCAGAAGGTTGGATAGGAGAATTATACGTACCATTGGCTGAAGAGAAAATTATTCATAGATTTTGCTGATTGATTACCAGGAAACTACATCTAATTAACACATTAGCAGACATATATTGTAGCAGTCATGATTATCTCTTCAATTTCAAAATCCTGAGTGTCGCTTAAGAGGATGGCCTCAAACATTTCCTGAGTCTATTTGATCTAAAAAAGTAATACAAAAGTTTATGCACGCCATAAAAGGTAGATATATAACAAGCACAAGTTCCATTGTTGTATCATGAAAAGAGTCAAACTTTCTAAAATGTTACAAAGAAGAAGACTCAGGTAAAGTTCTTTAGGCAATACTTTGTATTGCTCAAATACAAAAAAAATTAAAAAAAAAAAAAAGCATCAGGACTATGACCGTCGTATGAAAGAAGTACCAACTAAACCTTAGGTTTTACTTTTCTTTTGGGCAAATAAATTGCTTACTAACTACATGTTTTCTGAAGCATACACTCTACCTTGATGTTTGAAGACTCGTAAACTTCCTGATATTCTTCCACAAAATCATCTTCAACCATCTTCCCTATGCCAAGCAAAGAGTTAACGATGGAACATTGAAGTATGATACTTTTATTAAATATATATATATATATATATTGAAGTCTGACATCATTGCATAACAGCTGCAAAATCATCTAGTGAAACCAGGAAACTAAATAGACCCATTAATCAACAAACAAATTGTCGTCGCTGAAAACATGAGTACTCTATCACTAATCCTAATCATAGGTGCCCTTACTTCAATCGCCCAGTAAATACTAAGAAATCGCGGAACACGTATATACATCTATGGTTGGTATGATAAAAAAGAAACGAATGAACAAAGCCCATGCATTTAGCAGCATTACAATTAAAGCGAACAGCAACCACGAAAACGACATGGAAACATAAACACGAGCACCACCCCAAGTTTTCTGATGATTCAATGATACAGAGTAAGAAGCATAAGCATGATTCACAGATGAAGAAAGGAAAGGGTCAAACCTCAGAATGCTTGCGGACCAACGGTTGCAGAAGAACGCAGCCCAGCAAAGCAAGCAGCGGCAATGGCAAGTCTTCCTGCACTGATCCGACACTTTTATGGTGAAAATACACGAAAAGTCAAATCTCGATGGATTAGACTGTTACTTGTTCAAATAATTCCTTGAAGTCCAAAACATCCAACAATCGACGGCATGATAATCTTCGAAATAAATTAGCCATAAGCAATTTAATCTAATTACAAATGATACAATGTGTGTATGTGTGTGTGTGTGGCCAATAGCCAATAAACGTGAAAGCTTTTTCAACGTTCACTGTAAGAAAGACATTGCTTCTTTTGACATTGATAGAGTCGCGCCTACCTAACGGCGACGATTTTGTTAAATTTTAAATTATATTCTTATAATTTCTTTTATTTTAATCATATCTTATAATTTGATATATATTAATTTCTGAAAATTAAAATTATTAATAAATAATTAAATTTCTTAAAAAAATTGAAGTTTTTCAAAATTTGATTAAGTGCTTTTAGAAAAAAAATTCATTTAATAAAATATTTATACTTTTAGTAATTTTTTATTAAAAGTTATATATATATATATATATATATTACTTAGAAGACATAATTTAATTATATAGATTCTGAGTTATAACTCAGAATTTATATAATTAAGAAAAAATTAATCTTTTAATCATTCAATTTTTAACTCACTTGTAACTCAATCTCTCAATTATAACTCATTACGACTCAATCTCTTAACTATAATTCACTGCGACTCAATTTTTCAATTTTGATTCACCTATACTTTTGGTCTTAATTTTTTAACTTTTTTTAAAAAATTTCTTATCAAATAAGAGGGATAAAAAATGCTCATATATCATTCTAAAATATCTTCCTCTTGCTCATTGATATGAGATATACGCTAATATGAAAAAAAAATTAAAAAAATTTCAGGGACTAATTTATAAATGGTTCAAAAGTTGAAGAATTGAGTTATAAGCGAGTTATAATTGAAAGATTGAGTTACAAGTGAATTAAAAGTTGGAGGACTAAAAGATCAATTTTTTCTATAATTAATTATAAAATTATATAATATTCTAATAAAAATAATAAAGTTCTAAATTTCATTTTCGAAAGAAAAAATTCAAGAATTTTAACTTCCACAAATTAATAAATCTAACAGTCATCAAATTATAAGAAATTAATTAAAATAAAATAAATCATAGAGGCTTAATTTGAAATTAAAAAAATATAAAAACATAATAATTTATTTATTTATTTTTCCATCTATCATCGATTTTTTATAATTTTTTTCTAAATAAAGTCTGAACACTAATTACAACCAGCTACAAACAAAACAAAAGCTTAAACAATTTTTTTTTCATCAAACTCCATCTATGTTATAAAAGATGGCTTTTGATCAAAGAGACAAAAGACTCTATTAGATTTAAGGGACCATTTAACTAAGAGGTTAGTCAAAAGATTTGACTCCCGAAATATAAAATTAACAAAAATGAACCAATTTTGATGGAGACAAAAAAAGAATGAGCTTCCTCGATGATATCATGAAATGGATGAACAATGTCACTTTCATGAGTAAGAAGATTAATCTAATGCTATCCATGAAAACCTCTATCTTTCTACAGCCTTTGGACCAACAAAAGTTAAGCCTATAAATAAGACCTAATAACTCATCCATAGTGATGGGGATTGTAGAGAGTCTACAACTAAATCCTCATATCAACTTTGCTTTACAGTCATGCAAAACTCCTCCACAATTGCTTTGACTATTGTTACTCACAGAATCATCTACATTTAATCATACAAATTTAGTCTTAGGAGCTCTTCAAGTTTGTGTTTAGTTTTTATAGTTTTTTTTAGTATTTTTAATTTTAATAATTTTAATAAGATTAAGAAATGTTTGTCACTCAAATCTTTATAGTTTCAATGTTATGAAAACATTGAAAAAAAAAACTAAAGGAACTAAAAATGAAGTCTAATAAGACTATAAAAATTAATGAATATTTTTTCTATAGATAAAAAAATAACCTATTATATAGATCTACAAAAAAATACCATGGTTAACTTAAAATTTTAAGTTGGAAATATATAGAGCACTTCACTAAAAAGTACAACTTGTCATCATTTAGGGATTGTTTGTTTTCAATCTCTGAAAACTGTTTGTTATTTTTAAAAATAAAAAAAATTAAAATTTTGTTTGATAAGAGTGTTTTATTTAACTGTTTTCATAAAATAGAAAAAATTTTAAGTTGTTTTTATTTTATTTTTCTTGTTTTTAAAATACACTAAATTTGACTAGTTATCTTAACCAATTTTTATTATTAATCATTATCATTAACTGTCTATAACCATTATTATTAATTTATTTTTTAATTTTAAAATTAGTTTTAAATTTATATAACCAAATGAATTTTTATTTCATTTTTTAAAAAAATAATTTAAAAAATTGTATTACAAAATAGTTTTTAAAAATAAAAATGAGAACAAAAATCAAACAAGCCCCTAATTTGTCATTTATTGAGATTAATTATAACTTTATTTGGAATTAGAATATGTGGCAATTTTGACTAAAAAAATTGAAATTTTAGTTTGGTCTAGGAGGATTGAAGTAAAAATAATTTTAATAATAAAAAATCAAAGCACTTGTTCATTCGTTAATTTTGTCTGAGATAAAGCATTACTAGTTATTAATTTTTTTATTTTACTTATTAATTTATCAATATGAGTTATAAATTATATTACTTTGTTAGACAAGCAACAACATCAATTGTTAATTTGCTAACTTTACTTATTAATTTACTAACATTAATTATAAATTATTAACAAATTTTATAATCTATAATTAATATTAGTAAATTAACAAGTAAAGTTAGCAAATTAACAACTAATGTTGTTATTTGTAATTGAATAGCTAATATGTAAACATTGTATGATTATTGACAGGTCAAGTTATGTAATTTATAACTTATAATGGTAAATTAACAAATAATGTAAGAAAATTAATAACTAATAATTTTGCATTTTGAATAAAATAATAAAAATGTAAATTTTTTATTAAATTATACTTTTTCTGTTTTAGTTTAAGTAGAAAATTAAGAAAAAAATTAATATTTTAATCATTTAACTTTTAACTTACTTGTAACTCAATCCCTTAATTATAACTCGTTGCAATTTAGTCCCTCACAATGTATTGGAAATGTGTTATTTGGAATGTGAAACGCGCTTGAATCATTACTGAAATAAATTTAAAGTGTTTTGTTTAGGCTTAAGGCTTTCTAAGTCAAGTTTAAAAGAAATTAAGTATATAAATTCATTCAAGCGTAAATCACTAAGTGACAAGCGTGAATTACATTAAAGCATGAGGGACTGTCACAAATGTGCTCTATCCAAAACAAGCGTGAACTAGACTGTTAAATACAAATGCAATTCAACTGTTTGACAATGAAGTTTTAGGACTTATTAGCTCATGATAAGTTTTAATATGATGCTTTCTTACAATTTAAAATGTGATTTTGCCTCCAATAGTTTTCACATTAATATATAAAAAATAAATAAATATATCAATTAAATCTAAGTCTTCTCTTATTCTTTATGCTTTTGAAAGTTTTATTACTTAGTAATTATAATATTGATCTTTGGTTTTGTAATTATAAAAATGCATAGTTTAATAATTATGAATTTAGCAAATAATGTAAATGATTTAACAACTCATTTTATGCAATTAAGAAGTTATGTTAAATAGTAATTCATATTCTCTTTTTTCATTTCTGTCGAGGGCCCTTTAGTTATTTGTTTTACAAAATTATTTTCATCCCAATCTTAACATCCTGACATGTATTTTCATATTTATTTGATCTTAATTTTTAATTAAGAATGATCCTAACATGAAATTCTCCTTATATTATATATATTTTGAACAATGTTATTGTTATGTAACAAAAAATAATATATCACCGAACTCACATTAGCATGAGTTGGCAATTGAATCTCCTTCTTTAAACAAGTAATTGAAGGTTGAACTCCTATATCAATCTTCACTGTTGTGAGATGATACTCATAATCTTAAAAAATAAAATAAAATATCAGTAAAGTTTTTTAAAAAATTTAATTCTGTGTGAATACATAGAGCCCCCTGTTGTTTTTTGCAATGCCCACACTAGTTGACAATACATTTTTCCTCTTTTTAACGCGTGCCTTTTGAATTCAGGAGAAATTACAATTAAAGACATGAGAAAATAAGTAATAATTATGCAGGATCACCAAATCCTGAAATTGAATTTAAGCACCATGGCCCTTTTCTATAGTTATTTTTTCCTTTTAACTAAAATACCCCCCATAGTAAGTAATTACTAAATTGTGCCCCAGCTCCCAAGTCTGCAATTCAAGTGCGCATTGGTGAATTTTTTACGATCTTCTTCATTCGAATTTTGCCTGACCCGTTTTTTTATTTTTAATTTTCTTTTCAAGTCTTCTCATCTAAATAAGATAAAAGTTATTTTTTTTCTTTATTTTTTATTAAGTTTTCTCTCCATCGGAATAGAACATTACACTTAGTACTGGTTTTATGAGTTGGGTCATTAAATAACACCTTGGTCAATGATTTGGAATAATTCAACATCTCAATTGTTATTCCTTATTTTCATTGGTCCTTAATTGTCATTTTTCCTTTAAATTTTCTTCCAGAGTTTCAAATTTCAACTCTCACCAACCCCCGCTTTCTTGGAAACAATTCTGCATACTTTTCCTTGGGTGTTTTCCTGTAGTAATTTCCGAGAATTTTCTTGTGAAATAAATAAAAGTAAACCAAGTTTTGGTGACAAAAATATAAACGAAAAATAAAATGTATTTTATATAATTTTTTATTCTTTTATATAATTTTTGTTCCAAAATGCATGCTTATTTGGTCTTCAATATAAGGCAAAGGTGTAATAATTAATTCTTTTCCAATATCCCCCCTCCTTTCTAGATATACTTTTCTATAATTATTAATTATTAATTTTAATAAACAGTGAAATTGGAAAGTCAAACAATTTTTTTACAAATTTTAAAATAATAATTAATATTTCTTAATAATCATGAAGTTAGTTAATTTTGATTTATATTTATTAGTACCGGAAGGAGTAATAGATTACGCTGATTACAAATTATGTGTTGAATGAGGATAACTCTTCCTTTTATGTGTGACGCACGAAAATACACCAAGGCCTAATGTTGATAATGATCACATCCTCTCTCTGTCTCCCATAAAATAGTACATTTTCTTCTCATATTTTTAATTAAATTACACTTATTAATTATTTTTAAAATTATATAACCTTTTCTTTTTTATTCTTATTTAATGGAATGTCTCAATTAAAAAATATTATTAATTAAATTACATCTCCTAATTAAGGATATTTTTTAAAACTCTCATCAATTATGTATTTAGAGATCCAAATGTTTTATATTTTTTTAAAAAAGGTCTTATAATATTAAATGTAGGGAATATTAATACACACACATTAAATTAAAAACTTAGGGTTCAAGGATTTTGGATACATCCCTAACTGTTACAATTTTTTATCAGATGATGAATATGATGACATTCTCTAATAATTGGATCCATAACTTGTTTCATACCCAATTGTTGAATTGGCCTATGTTTTAAAATAAAATAAAATAAATAGTACAGCTATTATTATATTTGAATCAGATTAGTAAAGTTGAACATCCGTGCACGTCTCATGGGTTCGAAACTTCGAATTGAATTGCTTAATTTTTAAAATTTTCAATTATAAACATTACACGTTAGAGAATAAACATGGTTTGAAGTTTAAAGTCAACTACGTATTGCATAAAACTTTAGAAAATTATCCCTCTGAAAAATAAAATTTATAAAGGTTTATTTTTTCTGGCGTTTTATACTTTATTAGCGACACGTTTAAGCAATATATTAGTTAATAAGAAGAATTATAGGATTGATAGTCGATGAAATAATAAACTAATTATTATTACCACATATACAAGGACAGCAACACATTACCCTTCTTCTTCTTGTTTTTTTTTTTTTTTTGGGATTTCTCACAAATATTCCTTCTAATGAAGGCAATCTTATTCAAGACATTCTTGAGCACTAAATGCAAGCATACTCTTTGTGATCCAAAATATTAGCATTTCTTCTCAGTTAATCTTAATTAAAAATAGAAAAAATTAATCTTTTAATCTTTCAGCGTTTAATTTACTTATAACTCAGTCCCTCAACTATGACTCGTTGTGACTCAATTTCTTAACTTTTGATCCATTTATAATTCGATCCTTATTTGTCAAATTTTTTAAAAAATATCCTTATCAAATAAGAGGGATAAAAGAAATGCTCATATATTATTTTAAAATAACTTTCTCTTGCTCTATAATGTGAGATCTAAATTAACATGAAAAAATAAAATTAACAAAAGTTGAGAGACTGAATTATAAGTGAGTCAAAAGTTGAGGGATTGAGTCATAAGCGAGTCATAATTGAGAAACTAAGTCACAACGAATCATAATTGAGGGACTGAGTTATAAGTGAATTAAAATTTAGAGGATTAAAAGATTAATTTTTACTTAAAAATATAAGCAACCTAATATATATAATTTTTTCCCCATTTCATCTCTTATATTTATTAACTAAGATCTTTAACTGTAACTCTTACTTATCATGGAATGTATTAATAACTAAGACTAGAAATAAAAAGAAAAATAATATATATTTTTTTGGAAATGAATATTTTATTAGTATGTAATTTTTTAAAAAATATACTTATATTTTGGACAAAAAAGAGTATTTTTTAATAAAAATTTAAATTTTAATTCGTCACATTTTAAGGGACCAACTCTTGGTTAGCAACACAACCTTTTTCTGTGTAACTTGAATGGTGTTCCATCAACAAGTTAGGAGTCTTCTGCCACCGTCACTACATCTTCAATTCTTCATAATGATTCAAGCTTGAAAACGTTTGGGCCTTTTCATTTCATTGGATTTGTCAGTTGTTTGTTTACGCACTCTCTCCACTCTCCTGTTCTATTTGTTACTCACATTTTAAGTTTTCTTGGATATTTATGCAAGTCACCTTCCCTTTCATATATGTATATATTTATATATATATATATAAACACACACACAGACATATATATTTGTAATTTTTGATGCATTGCTTCAAAAATACCTTCTAGTACTTTTAAAAAGAAATGCAATATTTTGATTTTTAAGAAAACTCTTTTCACCCCATCAAATCACTCTTTTTTAAATTTAAGAGTACAACTAAAAAGTGAATTATTTTTAAGATAATTTTATTATTTTAATTAACCTTGGTTTGCGTTAGTAATAGGTAGACTTACGAAAAGAAATGGATGCAGAATATCTCATTATGAAATCCATTCGAATTTTATATTGGGCTTCAGGTTTTTGTGTTTATATCTGTACGTTTCCTTTCTGTTTGTTTGCCTTAGTTTGGCCCAAGAAAAGCTCATTGATTTAATTTTTCTAGGCTTTTATGTGCACTCATTTTTTTCTTTTTAATAATATTTGCTCCTTATATGAAAAATAAATTTATTATTGTCGTTGTTGTTGTTCTTTGTTTTCTTCATTCGGCCAATAATTTCTCAGTTGTTGGATGTATTTAGTTACTTTTTTTTATCATATACAAATCTTTATACAAATTATACAAAAAAAAAAAAACTGACCCCTTTATATATACTAACTAAATTTTACCCCGCAATGAAAAAATTCATTCCTTTTTTCAAGGTAATGAATAAAAGATGCATAAGTTTAAATTAATTATAATGTAAAATAATAAAAGGAACAAAGTTTGAATGATAAAATTATTAACAAATAACCTGAAAGAAAATTGAAAATTTAGGGGGCAATTCTTTTTTTTTTTTTAATAAAAAGGAAAACAGAGTCTTAAAAAATTAAGAGAAAAAACAGTCACTCCCAAAGGTTACCATATTCTTGGTCAAATCAATCCTCATGAGTCAGTCAGTCCCATGCATTGTTGAGAAGGTTCTCTGATGATGGCATCCTCAACAGTCATATTACGAGCTTCTTTTGCCAACCAATATGCTCACTCATCTGAATTTCTTGGTATAGATTATCTCCCAATCACGTACTCCCTTCATTTTTATATAAAAGAAAAAAAAATTATATCACACAATTTAAAAAAATTAATTAACCATAATAATTATGTTTGAAAATACAGAAATTGTACTAAAATGTTTTATGTTAATCAGTATAAATATACATTAATTATTTCTCATTAATGTAAATTATAAGGAGCAATTTAAAAAATATGTAATAATGCTTATTGAGATATGTGACTTTACTTATATAAAAAAAATAAAAAGTGAAAATTCCTCTTACAAATAAAAATGGAGTAGCATGATTAAACCTCTCATCTCTTCAACGATTTTGAAAGCTGAGTGACTCTTGATATAAAGGTTGGATATATTACATATCGCTTCAGCAGAATTGGAGAAAGCATGGACCTTCCTGAAACCTTTAGGCTTTAGCCCAACAAATCTTCAGTTCTTCAATAACTGCTCTCATTTCTCTAATTTCCACAATGATGCATTCGAAAAAAAAATCATAACACAATTATAATACAGACTCAGACTTCTATTTATGCTTGTAATCCAAAATACGTTCAGATATAGCTGTCAAAGTTGTAAAATCACCTCATGAACCACCGGACATTTGATTCAACTTGAAAGGAAATTCTACCAACTTAACCAGAAATCTCAAGATTAAACTCTGAGAATGTAATAGCATTGGTTGTAGAGTTTCCACTCGAGAGGGTGCCGACCCAACTTGATCGGGATTAGTCTGAGCCTTGTTAAAGTTTTCTCAGCTCAATGTGGTGCAAATCCAAGATACTAAATGCCATATGAATTTTTTTTTTAAAAAAAAACACACATACACCTCATGCTTTCTACCTGATCCAAGATGTTTTGAGAGGAATTCTCCATTTAGCTCACGAAATCCAAGGAATCTCTATTTTAGTTACAGTGTAAATACATGAAATTTGAATTTATGAGCTAAATTAGAGATGCTTTCCACATTCATAAATAAAAAATGTGAATGAACCAAGAAGGAACAAGCTCATGTTAAACACCAAACTTGATCACCAGTAACACGCACGAAGTCAATACAAATATATTAAACATATGACTAGCACAAAAGTTTTTCAACACCATTCCAGTTATTGAATCGGCAACAATTTTAAGAGGAAAGAAACAAGCATTTGCAAACTATTCAAGAAAACATTCAACGTTTGTACAAGTATAGCTTTGGGACTAGAGTACGAGTATATTATAACCCAAAATGGCAATACTTCACAAACATCAACAACATAGATAAAATGCATGAAAACTTATTTGCAATAAAAAGTTAGCAAACGTTATTTTGACATTATTTACTTACTTGATAAACTCCCAACACTACAATTTACCCATAGATAAATTTCTCAATAACTCATCCTTATGGCCACCTATCTACCCAAAATAAAAGTTACTGGCACTCTATGAATGCTAAAAATTTAATGCTCCAATTTTCGTAATACCATCTATAGCATTTCAAAATTCTCCTACAGTCACAATCTCACTCCAACCTCAAGTCCAAATATCTCATCCTGACCCCATAACATTTTAATTCTCCAGAATTAATCAATACAAAATTATACCACTTATTCTTGAATGGTTACAACTCACTTGCGCAAGTTTTCAAATTTCATTAGTATGATTTAATTGTTTAACTAGACATTTTGCTATGCACCCAACAAGCTTAGGAACCCCAATCTTTTCCTATTAAATGCTATCATAGAGCTTAAGCATTCATTACTGATTTTAACTAAGGAGGAGGACTCATCACAACACTTTATTAAATGAAACATCTCATGCTTCCAAGTTTGATCAATGTGATATCCTTCACAACTCTCTATCAACTTAATTTCAATTTCTCTATTCTTTCAAACACCTTATCAAACACTCTATGCGCACTCCATTGGGCAAACTCCTAGAATATTCATCTTGCTATTGCAGCCCCCAAACTTCATACATTCCCTCTATAAAGCAAGCTCTATTTAATCACCAAGCTTGAGACAGCCACATCATGTTAAATGGAAGAAACATCTCAATTTCCCCACCAATATCATAGACGAGAAAAAATAGAGAGCATAACCACCAACTAACCAAAGAGATATTAAACCAATGATAAATTTGAATATACCTTATGCAAAAGATATTCGAGTTCCTCAAAATTTCGGCTAACACCTTGTTCCCCTGTTGCAGAGCCCCAAAGCACCATCAATAAGTTCTATCGCAAACCTGTTCAATTGCAGCAATGAAGGGGAGGAGTATAGGAGCTATTTAAGATTAAAGGGAAGAGAGGAAAGGAGAAAACTACAAATTATACAAGCACAGGAAAATCTGGCCGAGGGCCTCACTTACACAAGGAAAGAAGAAGAAATTTTGGTCAACGGAACCCACAGATGAACCTGAGAGAAACTGATGATACTCAATCCAGTGTGTAAGCTTGAGCCAATTGAGAGAGATTTCCAGAAGTCATTCTATTTTCCCACAGAAATCGTTGTCCAACTGAAGAAAAATCTGATGGCAAAATTTTTTGTTTAAAAAGACCAAAAGAGGGGTATTCAGCAATATGTTAACCAATGAAGAATAACAAAAAGAGCCCCCTTGCGCTCACACCATAACTCAAACAAGTTAATATTTAAAATGATGAAGAACCTAATTACCTCACACTTATATCACGTTTTCATCCAATTGACATAATTACTTTTATTTCAAAGTTCTATGTCATTATAAAACCAATCATCACCTCCACATGCCTCAAGGTGCTCAAATTGATTTAGGCTACAGCATGAATTCAGTCATACTAGCTGAATAATGCTTGAACATAATGCAAGCACAACTCATTGAAGTACAAAAAAATTAATGAACAGGAAAACTTAAAAACAACAAGAAGAAGTTTTATCTCATTAGGTGAGATCATCTATATGGATTGTACAATGCTATTCTACTCTATCATTAACCAAGTTTTTAAAAATATTGTTAAGAGATCTCTTCAATAACTTCCATAAATGTTTTCTTTGATCTTCCTTTACCCCTCTTTATAGAGCTCAAGATTATGCATGCCACTCTCCTCATCAATGCCTCCCACAACCTTTTTTGTACATGTCAAAACCGTCTAAAATGATTTTCTACCATTTCTCTCTCAATAGATGTAACGCCCACCTTTTCTCGTACACGTTCATTTTGGATTTTATCTTTTTATATATGCACATTCATTCATATCAATATTTTCATATATGCTACTCTAACTTTATACTCATGTTGTCCCTTTAAAGCACAATATTTACTACCATATAACATAGTTGGTCTTATAGTAATTCGATAAAGCTTCCATTTAAGTTCATTAGATGCTTTTCGATCACAAACAACTCCTTCAACCTTTCTCCCATAAACTGCCCAGCTTACATCTTATGTGCAACATCCCCATCAATTTCTACATCATGTTGAATAATAGCTCCTAAATATTTAAACTTTTCTACTTGAGAGATGATTTGATCGCTCTATCTCACTTCCAAGTTCATACAAACTGACCTTTTATCAAAATTATAGTGCAAATATTTCGTCTTAAAACTACTCAATGGAAACCTTTCAATTCCAAGGTCCTCTCTCAAATTTGCTATTAATATCTTCTCTCTTGCTCGAAATAAGAACTACATCATCTGCAACAAGCATGCATTTGAGGATTTCCTTTTGAATATACTCAGTCAAAACATCTAGAATTAGGTCAAACAAATAAAGGCTCAAAGATGATCCCTGATATAGTCCAATCCTTATAGAAAAGCTCTTGGTTTCACTGCAAGACATTCTTACAGTGGTTGTTGCCCCCCATACATTCTTATATAACTCTAATATAGGAAACCTGAATTCCTTTTCCAAAGCCTTCCAAACTTTTCCAAATAAATGAAAATCATGTGTGAATCTTTACCTTTGATTCAATATTTTTCCACTAATCCCTTGAGTTGATAAATTGCTTTTGCAATCACCCTACCCAGCATGAAACCAAATTGATTATTAGAAATATTAGTTTCCAATCTCAACCTATGCACAATCACTTTTTTCCACAATTTTATAGTATGACTTATAAGCTCAATCCCTTTATAGTTTGCACAATTTTAAATATCCCCTTTATTTCTGTAAATAGGAACTAAGGTGTTTCTCTTCCATTCATTAGGCATTTTCTTGGACCGTAAGATCTTATTAAATAACTTAGTTAGCTACCGCACCCTCTTCACCTAAACATTTCCACACTTTGTTAGGGATATAATCAGATCTGTTGGCTCTACCATTTACTGTTTTATTAAGAGCTTCCTTGACCTCACTATTGCATATCCTTCGATAGAATATCAAATTTTGTTTTCCTTCATAACTTACTAAAATAAATAAATCAATCAATAGAATGACAAAAGGAAGAAGCGAAAACAAAATAAATAAAATTAAAATAGCTCAGAAGGTTAACAGTTTTCAACCATTTATGGCCAATGAATAACAGCTTCCAAATGCATTTAGCTCCTTAATGTGCATGTAAAATTAAGGGTGTTCAAAACCGATCCAAACCGAAAGGACCGATCCAAACCAATCCAAACCGACAAAAACCGATCAAAACCGAACAACAATCAGGTCTGCTTCGGTTTTTACAATATAAAAACCGATTGGTTCGGTTCAAGTTCGGTTTTGAGTACTAGAAACCGAACCAAACCAAACCAAACTTGATTAAAAAAATTCTATTTATTTATTTGTAAAATATATAACCACTTATCTACAAGAAGCATTTTGTTTTGAATTTTTTATAGTAATAAATAAACATTTTTAAAATACTTGAATGAAAATGCATAATATTAAGTAATTATAATAATCATGCTATGATCATCATTTAATTATTTACAACCTAAAAGCCTCAGCATTCAATTTATCTACAAGAAACATTTTGTTTTGAATTTTATATAATAAGTTTTTCATTATTTATTAAAATATAGATACATAGATAAACATTTTCAAAGGATTTTAATGAAAATACATGATATTAAATAATTTTAATCTTAAAAACTTATATCAATTTTTATGATTAATTATTGTTATCACATTGAAATTTTATTATATTTTTATACCTCTATTTATGAAAAAAAGGAGTCAAAAAGAATTAAATTTAATTTTAGTACATAGTACCATTATGAAGATGGAGAAAAGGAAAAAAAAATTAAATAAGTGCATTAAAACTTGATCAAGACCTTAACCAAACCGAACCAAACTGAATTTCATAAAAATCGATCAGGTCTCAATTATCAGTAAACTGAATGGTTCGGTTCGGTTTGATTTTTGCCCAAAACCAAACCAAACCGAACTTATGAACACCCCTATGTAAAATGTATCAAACTATGCAAGTGCTTTTAATGCTATGAGGCTTGTCTTAACTCTAATGAGATCCTAAGACCTAACTTACCTATACTTTATTATAACAATTAAAAAAACTTCAAAAATATTAAGGAACTGCATTTGATTTTCTACTTTCCAAAACTCCTCAATCATGATGTAATGCAATTTCTAGGTTTCTTTGAAAGCACAGGATGGATAGTATGAACCCAAAGGCCAAATATAGTATATCATAATACTACAATTACAAATGTAAATAAAAACCAATGGTTGAATGAAAAGGAGAGGCAAAAAAAAAAAAAAAGCTACAAGTTACAGCTAAGCAGCTCATGCATCTTCTAGCCACAAGTTTCCAATAAGTCCTAAATTCAAACCTCCTGGACATTGTTTACACCAAAAACACATTAAATTACGTCTAATTCAGAATTTCCTGATTTTCAGGATACTATAAAATCAAATCTGTCTTCTACAGGTATTACTTAGCAATTGCAAATACAGCCTATTTTTTTATTCTTTAGTTAGCGCCCACACTTGTTAGTCTGTGAATGCAAGTGAAATCAGAGATGCATGCACAACAATATCTATCAGATCTTGATACCAATATCATGGCATAGCATAAAACAAAAGGACACACTTCCTCCCCAATCAGAAGAACATTGCCATGTGCCAAATAGTCCATGAACCTCAAGCCTCTAAAAGACAAAATTTCAAAGAATAAAAGAACTGTAACTGTGCTATAACCTCAATGTTATCAATTGAAAATCGATAATTCTTGAGTTTAACAAAGCATAGACTAAATATTTAACCAATTTGTTGCTCATCAGGCATTATAAGATGATTGGTGTTATTTTTTTGAAGAATTTGTGAATTATAGAATTTTTATTGATGAGAATTTCACATAATTAGGAATAAATTTATCAAATCAAAACTCTCCATGACATGACTAGAATTTAACAATATCAAAATATCATATGATATTGATGAGAAAAAACAAATTTTCTTTCAATTACAAAACCAAATCGAATATTCATGATCTAAAATTGACATGTCTCTTCTCTAAAATACTAGAAATTAACCTCAGAGTGATGGTGCATAACAGATTACAGATGTAAAAGCAACTATTCCTATTCTGTTAAGATTATGAGAGCATGGGACCCAAGGCATCCTTATTAGTAAGAGAAGTATAAATACACCAGCAATTTTCCTGGGAAAAAAACGTATATAATGCACAATATTGCCTCAAGTTAGAAATGCAATGAATAATTAACATAAAAGGTCAATTCACTAACAAATAGTTTTCTAGCACATGTCAATTTGCCATATTTAAAGTAAAAAACAACACAACATTGGAAATTCAAGGACTCAAGCATCACATGTTGGTTAGTTAACTTCAAGCTTCATTGACTAAATGAGAAGGCAACATCAAGGGCTTTGTCCTACAACAACAACAACAACAACAAGCCTTTATCCCACCAGGTGGGGTCGGCTACATGGATTGCAAGATGCCATTGTGCTCTATCATTTATTTGATGGGCTTTGTCCTAAAAAGAGAAAATCTATTCAGTTTGCCAGATACAAGGATTTGAAAACAGCTCAAGACAATTCAAGATTCACACTGATATAACAGAAACCCCTATACCTATATTTTGCTAATTCTACCAAATAAGTTCAGATATCATATTTCTTGGATTTAGAACAGCCTAACGAACATTGTTTGTTAGAGACAATGTTAAGGAAGGAACTATTATTTAACATTACAAACCCTAGAAAACAATATTTTAGCTACAATTCAAACAATGAAAAGTGCTAATACTTGGACAATACCCAAGATGCGCCCTGGAGTTGTGAAAGGCACCCAAGTGGGAAATGGAACCATTGCCGAAAGCTTTTTTTCTTTTCTTTTCTTTTCTTCTTTTTAAATGAGTTAGGTGTCTATCAAGGAAACAAATTGAACTAGAAATGAACCGTTAAGAAAGAAAGAACAACCTCAAAGTCATGTCATACCCAAAAAAAAATAAAAATAAAATCATGGGTAACAGACATAGTCTAATTCAATCTATTAAACTGATGACTTGAACAGAACTCTTCAAGACCATTCAACCCATCAAATAAACCAACACCTTTAACCAAAAGGAAACAATCATTGTATAACCATTAAGGACAAATATCAACATTTGTACAATTATAACAAATTAGGACAAGAGTATCAAACCTTGTTTACTATTTTAGAAGGCCACTATCAACCATTTCATGAAGAAGATTTTCTACTTTATCATCCTCGCTTTTTTCATTAAGAGCTCGAAGAAGTATTTTATATGTTAACAAATCAGGTACACTTTCATTCCCTTCCATTTTTGAAAGCAAAGTCAAAGCTTCGTCATGCAACCCTTGTCTACAAAGGCCGTGCATCATAATGTTATATGTGTAGACATATAGATGGTAGCCTTTGATCAAAAGGTGTTGAAAAATCACCCAAGCATAATTTTGTCTACCTCCTTCACACAAACTATCAATCATTATGTTTTATGTGTACAAATCAGGTTGAACCCCCTGGACAACCATTTGCTGAAACAACACAATCCCTTGGTTGAGATTCTGACTTTTGCAAAATGCATCTAACAAAATATTATAAGTGACAGTATCAGGGGCATGACCACTATCACGCATATCATAAACAAGGTTTTGCACACATGACATTCTTCCTGATTTGCACATGCCAGCAATAAGAGACTTGTAAAGCAAGTTATCAGGAACCATGTTTTTACGACGCATTTCTTTCAAGAGACCTATAGCTTCATCGACCATCTTGGTCTTAAAAAATCCAGCAATCAATATATTAAAATTAACCACATCAGGTGTCAGCCCACGCCTCACCATCTTATTAAATACTTCCTTTAACTCACCGGCATTGTTCATTAAATAATACCCAACCATTAAATAATTGTAAGTTACAACACTAGGTTTCTCACCAGATTTCATCATCCTAACAAAAACAACTTGTGCTTCTATGATCCTTCCTTCTTTACTGAAAAAACTAATCAATAAACTAAATATGGAAAGATTTAGTTGGATGCCTTTTAATACCACTTCATCTGGCAATTGAGTAGCTTTTTGTCACTGTCCCACGCTATAGTAACATTGAATTAGAGGATTATAATTTATAAGTGAAAATATCGGGCAGCACTCCTGGGTCAATCATTTTATAACGCAATTGATGGGCCTCAGCGACACGTCCACCTTTGCAAAGGCTATCAATGTAGATTACTTCAGTAGGCTTAGTCCCCAGCCCCCCCATCATTCGGATCAACTTGATAGCAGACGTTATTTTCCCAGTTTTGCAAAGCCCATTGGCCAAAAATCCATAACTAACCATGCCTAATCGAATCCTTTGGCAATTATGTCATCATAAAAGTCTAACGCTTCCCCAATCTGGTTCCCAATGCATAGTCCTTTTATCAGCGTATTCAAAGTTACCATATCAGGTTGAAGATCCATCTTGAGAATCATTCCCAATATTGAGAATGCAGAATACATCTGACTCAAATGGCAGCAACAGTTGATTAAGATGTTCAGCGTATGTAAATCGGGTGTTAATCCCCTGAACTCAGCTTCAGCAAACAAAGAGATAGCAGTGCGATAATGTTTAGCCTTGGCAAGGGATCCTAAAATCTTATTAATTTGGACTATGGAAGGTGGGGGACGCATATGGAGTAAGCGATTGAATGAAGCAACAGAGTCGTGAATGCTATTTGCATTTGGGGTTTGAGAATGAACAAAGAACTTGGGGTTGAGAGATTAAGGGGGAGAGAATGATGGGAGGTGAACAAGATCGAAGAAATCGAGGAAGCTTTGGAAAAACATGCCTTGTTGTAGCTCTATACATCGATATCTTCACCGATCTCCCGGACGTGAAGAAGACCGTGGATCTGGATTGGCAATGGATTTTTTTCAAGGAAAAAAAAAATACTTTTTGGGATTGGCGATACGTGATTAGAAACAGCAGCGGAGCCGCGCAGTTGAGAGAGGGGGAGGGGAAAATGATATGCATCTATGAATTTTCATATTTTGTAACTTGCATTCTTTTCTTTTCATAATTTACATCTTTTTATTTTAATATTTTAAATTTTAAACTCATTTTAATTTTACATTTTATCCTAAGTGCATTTAACCTCTTGATTCAAAACCTAGTAAACATTAACTCATAATTTTATTATACCTATATATTAATATTATTTATTAATCTTTTAAAGAATAAAAAAATAAAACTTATTTTGACTAGACTAGACCTGCGTTAGCTTCATCTTGAATACTACTTAAGGATTAGTTAAAAAAAAAAAGTAGTGAAGGTTGGAGATTCAAAATTTA